AACACAAAAAAAAAAGAAACGAGAACAGAAGAATGTGTCGACGATGGATTTGGAAAATTTGTGAGACCTCCTCTTATATTAGAAATAAAGAAATAATAATCCTCTTCTCTTTAATGATATATGAAAATAAAAAAAGGGGATGCTTGAAAAGAGAGAAAAAGAGAGAGAAAAAAAATCTTCTTCGATATAAGATTGGAAGAAGTAAGGAAAGCACGTGATTGCTAAACGCGCGTGGGTCTCGCGATTAGAGAGGGCACGAAAGGAAGATTCTACGTGCGAAGGAAGTACCGATACTATGCTGGACTATGCGCATGGTGAAAAAGGGTGGTTAGTTGAGGAGGAGGAAGGATCTGCTTGGGAAAATGGTAGAGGTAGAGGTGGAGAAGGTGTAGAAAACGCACGCACACCTATGCACTACGAGGCGCTACGTTCGCTAAATTTGTCCCTTCTTCCGGTCTCTCTCTCTACCTATCTATTTATCTATCCATCTATCTATCTATCAATCTTTATCACCATCTCTACCACTATTTCTATCTCTCTCTCTCTCTCTCTCTCTCTCTGTTACACACTCGAGTTGGATACACGCGATGGCGAACGTTACGTGTGCTCGAGTTTTCATCGGCGCGCACGCGATACCCCTTTTCAAAGAGGGGAAAAGGGTGGTAGGGCGGGAGGGGGTGGGAAGGGGAGAATTGTAGGGTTGGTTGATTTGGTGAAGGTGGACTTGGTAGAGAGATAGATGGAGGTGATGGTGGTGCCGATGGTGTTGGTGCTGGTGGTAGTGGTGCTGGTGGTGGTGTTAGTGGTGGTAGTAGTGGTGGTACCGAAGCTTTAAGGGTAGGGGGATGGTTTGGCGAAGCAAACGTTTCATCGGCAACGCCGCATTGCAGATCTGCTGCGCTGACGCGCAACGAAACCTAGCCTAACCTTTCTTGCGCGCCTTCCTTCGTCGTTCGTAGTCGACCTACCGACCTACCCATACACGTTTTCTATCTCAAAACTACCCCTCCATCTCTCCCACTCTTCTTCCCTCTCCTCTACTCTATTCCTTTCTTTTTTTCCCTTTTGGGTATTACCCTTTTTTTATTCTTCTTGGATCGATTAAAACGTTCGATATTTCTTTAACGTTGTTGGAAATTAGGGCTCTATACTATCGCGTTCGAAACTATACTATTATCATTATTACTGTTATTACTATTACTACTACTACTACTACTACTACTACTATTGCTATTACTTATTCTTCTCTTCTTCTACGTTAGTTTTTATTTTATTTTTTTCTGCCTCGTATTTTCCTTATTGAACGTTGGTATCCGGTTGACACTATTTTCCTCTCAAATAAGCTTTTCCAATAATTGTCGGGTTTTATCGACTTAACTTACCCCCCACCCCCACCCCTCCCTCCCTCTCTTTCTCTCTCTTTCTCTTTTTCTCTAATCGTTACACTCTCTAACGCGTTTAATCGTAGCAGTTTATCGCAAAACGAACGATTCAACGAAGATCGCAAACTACCGGAACCTCTCTCGTGACCCCCTTCCCCTATTTCCCTCCCTCACCCCATCACCCTCTCTCTCTTTAGCTTTTTTTCTGTCTTCCTCTTTTCCGGCCTTTTCCAGCACGTAAACTTTGAAGCAGCCATCTCTACCTCTTCTACCTCTTTTAACCACCCAAACCTAACAACCCTCGTAGCTTCGACTAAAAGGTTTCCGTGTGTGGTACGATTTCGAAGCGATTATCTCTACCACGACTGCATGACCGATGAATCGATTAGCGTGTGTTGTTTCGTGCACGAATAGCGTGTTTAAGCGTCTAGTCAACGTGAAAAACCTTGTCTTCCTCCCCTTATCTACTATTTTTATCTTATTTCATTATTTCAAAAACTTTTACATATATAGTTATTTATATATATATATACATACATATAATTATATATGGTAATTTTTATAACTCCTACGTACAATGTATCCTTACGTATAAATGTATAATTAGTTTTATATCTATATAGTATATACAAAAAAAAGATATTATTATCTTACCCTTTTCAACTCGTACGATAAGTATTATCCTAAAAGATAGTTCTTCACGTGTAACACGTAACCACCGGATTCTCAAGAGGATGAATATATATATTTTGTTTTATATATATATATATATATTCATTCACACCATAGTTTCTTCTCTCTCTCTCTCTCCCCCCCTTTCTCTCTCTTTCTCTCTCTCTTACCCTCTCTCTTTTATTATTTCGAGTGCACGCGAGACACGTTGCGGGTAAAATCTTACACCTTTACTTCCGTAACCGTTGTTTCAAAAAACCAAACTTGCACGCAACGTTTTTTGTTTTTCTCTCTATTATCCCCCCAACTCCCCCTAAAGCAAAGGAGGACGGATATTACGAGATATGGGGGTTTGATAGAAAATGAAAAAGAGTGTGCAATATAGAATGGAAGAAAATAAAATCTGTCGTAAGGTAAGGTGGTGGTGGTCAGGTAAAAAAAAAAAAAAACCACAAACTTGGAAAAATATGATAGAAAGATAGATTGAAATTAGGTACTAGAGAAAATATAAACGAATGGAAATAGTTAGAGAGACAGATGATGGTTAAACGGATAAATGGAAAGATAGACGAATAGATAGATGGATAGATAGAAAAGGAAAGAGAAAGAGAAAGAGGGAAATAGAGCAAAACAGCTTGGTTCGCTGCTAAAATTTCACTGGCCGCTCGCGGACGACTTTCTCTCCCCCGTTCGTTCGTTAGACGTCGTTTCCTCTCTCTCTCTTTCTCTCTCTCACACTCTCTTCCCATACATGTATGTATGTGTGTGTGTGTCTCTTTATCGTGTAGAAGAGCGGGAAATACGTGCAACGAGGCGAACACGTCATTGAATTCGTGCCAAGGGTAATATGGATTCTGCGGCATGCGATCTCGAAAGCTTTTCGGGGAGAAATAGAAGAGGAGAGAGAGAGAGAGAGAGAGAAAGATAGATAGAATAGGAGATACAGTATATGTATGAGACAGAGAGAGAGAGAGAGAGAGACGAGACGATATTCCTTCGCTCGATCTTTCTTCTTCAACGTGTCCCAATTGTCAGTGGCGTGCGCGCCCTTGTGTCTCACATAAGTGCCCGCAAACGGGCATTTTCGGCACGGCGCCATGCGAAGTATAAGCTCCGAGAAAAAGATAAGGTTGTGGTGGTGGTGGTGGTGGTGGTGATGATGATGATGGTGGGAGTAACGATTAAACTGATGGAGGGGGATGATATGCAAAAGTTATCGCGAGACATCCCGTTAACCCCAACCCCCACCCTCCTCTCCGTTACTTTCCTTTTTAAAATCTTTTCTTCTTCTTCTTCTTTTTCTTCTTTTTCTTCTTCTTTTTTCTTTTTTAATCATTTTTAATAACTTATTACAGTACTTTATTCGATTATTAATTACACTCTTAAGTTGTGATTCATCTAGTAGGTACAATTGCGGTCGCAAATATCGATACAATGTTTCATATTTTTTTTTTTTTTTTCTTTTTTTCTTTTTCTTTCTTTCATTTTTTTGTTTCTTTTTTTTTTTTCAATATAATAACCATGTTCGTTTCTCTTGTATATGACATGTGTATGTATGTATGTATGTGTATGTATGCGCGCGTGTGATTTATCATTATTATTATTATTATTATTATTATTATTATTATTATTATTATCATTATTATTATTATTATCATTATTATTATTATTATTATTATTATTATTATTTTATTAGGGTTTTCTTTCTTTCTTAGTAAGGCCACGATCCACGAACGAGAAATCAAAAAAGAGAGACTGAAATTATACAATCCTTTCCAGCGAGCGTTTTTTTTCTTTTTGTTTCTTTAGTGTTTATCCTTTTCCTAAGTAATAAAGGATCTATTTATATATGATATATATGTATGCATATGTATCAACTAAACGTCGTTTATAGAAGCGGCAGTCTTTTACATGCTCTCGTTCTGTCCTATAACGTGAGAATGGTAAAATCGATTCTATTAAAAAAGCTTTTTCTTCAATTTTCCGCCATCATCCTATTTTTTCTTTTCTTTTTAATTTATTTATATTCGAAGTTTTATTTAATAATAATAAAAAAAAGAAAATCAAACGACGACTCTTCTTCTCGTGGACCGTGGGTTAAACGCGCCGGTCGTTGATTGACTTAATGCTGTAAAATATTCTCCAAAATGATTTTTTTTTTTTTAAAAAGAAACCGATAAAATATAATAAAAGATGAGATAAAAACGATGAAGAGAGCTGCTTTCGAGATTCCTTACGATTAGTTTACGTTACATATCTTAACAAATCTTACTTTCTAAAACTTTGGTCGGAATTAGCTGTTCGCCCATTTAACGGGGCGGCACTTCGAGGATCGTCTAAAACTGCGTTTGCATGTTTTACTTTCTTGCCGTTGTTTACAAAAAAAAAAAAAAAGCGCCGTGAATATAACGCGAAAAATAACAAGAATAAATCGGAACGATGTTAAATGGTATAGAAATAGAAGAAATAGAAAAGGGAGAGAAAAAACGATGAGATTACAAATGCGTAATGCATAATAATATGTAAAATAAAAACGAAGATAGAAAGTGTATAGTGACAGCAGTGGTGATGTAGTTGTTATGGTTATTGTTAGAAAGTATAAAGTATTAACTTATAACTCGTTAATGCATTTTTATATCCGACAAAGGGATACAACGGTAATTAGAAAAAAGAGAAAGAAAATGATAAAGAGAGAGAGAGAGAGAGAGAAAGAGAGAAGAATATGCATATCCGTATACAACGTTTATAATCACGGCGATATTAGAAAAAAAAAAAAAAAGAAGGTATACGCACGGTGAGACCACGTGACAACACTGTATATTGGGGTTGAGGGTTGGGGGTTGGGGTTGGGGGGTAAAAATAAGCACTCCCTCGATTACGATTATTAATCATATATCGCACACGAATGTCTCGTATCTGGCGATATTAAAGAGAGTAATAACCCGCGGAACTTTGAACGTTGTTGTTAATAATCGTTTTACTCGGAGGATCGTCCAATCTCCGTTCATCCTTAGATGGTCGCCGATCATTTGACCGTCCTCTGACAAGTTGGCAAATTAACCGTGAAGAATACGTTGAGCTCTATCAACGATGCCAATATCAGGAAAACCGCGTACATACACAAACAGGCTCGGCCTACTTTTCGATCTAGTTGAAACTTATTCGAGGCGAAGGCGATGTAGAGTAACATTAACGTCGATAACAGTGATATGGCGCTGTATTCTAAACCACCGGAATTTATGCTGATGTAATGTTTCCCCGGTTGCGTTGGCGAAAACGACGATTTTATTAACCATGGTAGTCCCAAACATAGGAGTATATCGAACGTGTTAGAACCGATCGAATTGCTTATTCCCATCGAGCCGTGTCCTGCAACATGAAAAACAACAACGATGATTAATTATGTCACTCAAATAAATTAAACTTATATATATATATATGTAAGGCACGATTGAAAGATGTATCCTTGTATCGTAGATTTTTGTATCTAAAGTAAAAACCGGATTCCAAATAAATTTCTCGCCGATTGATTTGATTTTTCTTTTTTTTTTTCGAACATCTTTTTATTGATTTTAGTATTTTACCTTGTTTCGCGACGATCACGCTTGAGACTGCTTCCGGTACACTGGTACCAGCCGCGAGGAATGTAATACCCATTACCGAGTCTGGTATCTTCAGTGTATCGCCTGAAATAATAACATATCGCATCGAATCAGTCAGTTGTTAATCTATTTGTTTATTTAACGATCAAATTATTAATCATAATTCTCACCGATAATCGTGATCATCCACGCTACTACGTAACTCAAGGAACCGATCCAAATAATACACATTAAGAACGTAACAGGGAACCAATTTTTAAATCGTGGCTTTTCGCAATCCGGTATCGTGCACATAAATATTAGGTGAATCGGCCAAGTCATAATCCAAGCTGTCTTTCTGATCCATCCGCCACGTGCAGGCCAAACCAATAACTCGTACTCATAATCTGAAATATTCGTCTCAATCATATAATAACGTTATATCATCGAACGTATTTACAAATTTGAATTCGTTCATCTTACTCGGTTCAGGATTTTCCTCCTGTGCTTTGGTACCACCATTTTGAAGTGGTACATCTATCGTTGCTATTTGTTCGACTCGATCGCCGGACGATTGCAACTTATCGGGTCTGGGTAAATGAATCTCATCGGCATCTGTGATACAACATTAAAATTTCCAAATGTTACTTGTCGAAAATAATGACATTAGCAATTTTTGTTGTATTAATTACCGGTTGCGATGCGACAGTCTGTAGACGAGAATTGATCGTTGTTAGTGCGAAATCTCGTACACCGTTGAAATGATTTATCCCAATACATGACAGCAATGTAAACTATGTATAGTAGAACCAGGGTAAGTGCCTCGTACCACTCGACGCGTTCGTCGTGTATGATGCATATTAAAATGGCGACTGTTACACCGTAGGCTAAACAATCCCTGCTAACGGGCCACCAATCTAGTGGTACAACCTGAATCACAGATTGAAAATAAAAATAGAACGATATTTTACCGATATTGATGAAATAAAATACATGAAAGATTTCGGAGTTTCCTTACCATTCCTGCACCGATCCCGCAGCAAGCAGGAACGGCAAGAATATTGAACACCGCCGATCCGACGATTGTTCCAACTCCGATGTCACCTTCGGTAATGAAAGTACCAATCGCGTTGACGAACAATTCTGGTGCGGACGTCGCGGCCGCCATGAACGTCGCACCAGCTACGTCTTTTGACATCGACAGTGCTAACAAAATTGACATAAATAAAAGGAGAAGAGAGAGAGAGGACACGTTCGTAATAAGAATAATTGGAATATTATTTGGTCCGTTGTGATTGTGTTTTATAAATGGTTCGTTCGATCGAACGATCGTTACCTACCGTGACATATTTTTTCTACCGCAGGTACAAAGAATTTATCGCATACGACTGCTAAAGCGATAAATAGATAAAGGGACACTATTACGTGGACAACGACGGCACCGCCTTGCCTCTGTGCCTCGTCAAACAGATCATGTGGAAAATCTTCTATCGCAGGTGGCGTGCAATTTATACCTGCAACAAACAACACAACCCGTCTTTTCTCTCTTCGATTTAACAACTCAGCTGTGAAAGATAACCCGTGCGCTATTCCTATTTCTCACTCCCTTTGATTACACCTATATACCTTGGCCAGTATTTTATCGTGTAAAATTAAATACCGATTATCAAAGAGAAAATGTGCTACTTACAATGATATTTATTACAATATCGTTTGTCGAATTTTTTTCGTGGAAATTCGAGTAACTCGTTATGGTAATGAAATATTATAATCTATGAGAGATGATATATACACGATGATGATCTTGAATCATTGAAGTAACGTCCGTAATGCGAAACAATGCACGTGCATTTGTTTCAAGTTGAATTCCCTCTGAGATTAGATGGATGTACGTGTAAGAGTACTTATACCCAATTTAGATATTTCAAGTAGGGTTCTTGGAATATTTGGGTAAATCGTATTAATGTGTAAGGATTGATTGGCCGAGTCAAAAGTTAGGAGCCGGCCGTTGAGTTTCGTGTTAGGTCGTCGGACAGGAGTTAGCGAGCAGTGAGCAGCACGAGCCGTTTAAATCGTATTGTAGCCTACTTGTAATTATTATCATCATCGTCTGTACGGTAACGGAAAACGAACGGATGTTCCACACCCTCCATACTTGCTACTGCCGTAAAATACACGTTGTACTTTGAGTTACGTAACAGCCACGGGAAACGCGTCAGAGATCTCTAACGTGAAAGAACGACTGAAAAAAAAACGATATTTGTTTCTGTGTGTGTATGGGATTGTATTCGATTATAATTATTATTATTATTTTGAAAAAAATAGACAAATAAGAATAATAATTTATCACGATCGTGCCTTCGAATTGTTTCAACGAGTACTTATCCAAAGATGAGAACAGAACGTGACTTTAATTTCGAATTGATTTTAAAAACAAATAGAGAATGAGAATGAGATCTTGTTTCGTAAAGCTGAACCAGAAGCATTTTAGCTTGGATCTGTAAGGTACGATCATGACGGTGTGCAAACACGTTTAAGAAACGGTGTTGTACGCGGTCATCGAGTTGTCCATCGTGTAGCGTTTTAAGACGGTGATACGCCAAGTAGGAAACGTCTCGTTAAGGTCAGTCATTAGTTCAATTTTACGAAAGCTGCGTGTCGTGGAATTATTTGGCAAACAACTACGTGAGAAAAGCCACTTTGACGGTTAGTGGTGAGGGAAAGGGGGAAGGGATCTGCCATTTTAGATTGTGTTTAAACAATAAGTGCTAACGGGAGGGGTTTATTTGACGACGACGACGACGACGACGACACATTTATTCGCACGTCTCCTTAGAAATGTTGGAAACGACGAAAGATCGTGTGCCCCGTCCCACCCCCCGGAGCCCATTAATAATAGTAATTTTAGTTCTTACGAATGATGAATAAGGATATATAGGACAATGGATCGTAGCAGAGTTAATTTGTTGATTTTTAATGAAACGACAAAAGGGAATGAAATCTAATGTGGTTAGATTTAATCTCTCTCTCTCTCTCTGTAACTTCATCCTTTTTCCTTTTCTCTTTCTATCTAATTTTTTGTTTCTTTTTCTAGTTTCTTTTTTCGTAGTACCTTTTTCTTTTTCTCTTAATGGAGGAGGAGGAGGAGAAGGAGGAGGAAAGGAGATCATTATAAATAAATAAGCGAGTACAAAAGAGAATATATCATAGCTTGTGACACGTGCATACGGGAGTTCGTTCGCATGCGCGTAGCATAAACGTAGCGCAAATGGGACACAAAAAATGTCGGAACACGCGCGCGCGCGCGCATCTCTCTCGGGCTATTTTAATTTGCAGGGGTCAATTGGCCGGCCGGTTGGTCGATTGGTGTCTGTGCGAATTTATACCAATGGATTAAGATCTTTATTTTGTGTTGTAAATCTGTTTCAAGCCCCACACCCCCCGACCCCTCGGCCCTTTCCATCCTCGTTCCCTTTTTCAAGAGGATCTCGTCCATATAACTAAATAAAAAATTACAAAATAAATTATAATCTTTAATAAAACACGCACACGCGCACGCGCGAAGAAGGTAACGGGGGTGGGAGGGTTGGTTATAAAAAAATAAGGAAATGTATAATTCGATACGCGTGGTATATTCTCGAGACGGGGGGGTTGAGGGAGGGTTATACCTTTGCAAAGATTTATTTTTTCTTTCTCGAATACGAATAAAATATTCTCATCCCTTTAAAACACCTTCGACCTGCCTGGTCGATCTTTTTTTTTTGTTTTTCTCGAGGAATATACTCTAATCTCCGGTTAAGTTTTCAAACCGGATATTAGAGGCTTAGAAACTAGAAATAGAAATGGATAGAATCTTTATTAAGTATTCTGGATTAGTACAACCTTAGGATCGCTCAACTGGTACATTGTGAAGAGCAATCAATTATAGGAACGTACGAGGAACAAGAGAGAGACACAGATAGAGAAATAGAGAGAGAGAGAGAGAGAGAGAAGGTGTAGAAAACATAGAATCATATTAAACGATATTTATACGTTATTTTCTTCCCTTATTTTCCAGATAATTTAAATAAAACTATCTACTCATTTGTACAAATTTATTTGAGATAAGAGAAAAGGGGTTCTCTTTCTTTTCTTTATAATTTAAATGAGAAAAATCCTTTTTTTTTTTCGAGTAAGTATATTATTATTTTCCCGTAATTTTTTTCTTTTCTTTTTTTTTTTCCTCATAACACCCAGATACAACATCCTCTTCGTTGTAAAAAGCTTATTTGGAAAAATAAAATTAAAAGCTCCTTTTCTCTCTTACTCTCTGCATTTTCAAGTACGGTAATCTCGTATTTCTTTTCCAGTATATTATTATTATTATTATTATTATTATTATTATTTCTCCCATGTTGTATGTGATACTTATGTTATACTTTATACCGTATCCTCGTTATAAAGCATATCTAAAATAAAAGGAGAACCAAATAATCTCTCTCTCTCTCTGCGAATCTCTTTCATTTTTTGGGTTAAAAAAAAGAAAAGAAAAGAAAAGAATCCTATTTCTTTTCTTCTAACCGTGGCTTTTACTCCCCAACCGTAAGGCTAAACACAGTGGTAGCGTGTAGAATGTGGTGGGTGTATTGGTGACTCGTACCGGTTATACAGCTATGTGGTTGATGTGACTTCCTACCGATTAAGCAACCTAAAGAAGTTAAATTGCTCTCATTCAACTGGCCAGAGTAGATGCCATTCATGCCTAATGTACGTCGTATAAACTAGATATAACGCGACTGGACAACTCGGCCGGTCTCGAGGGTCGATCGCTGACCGAAGACCGGAATCATTTCTTTCTCTCTTTCTATCTCAAATAGAAAAGAAAAAAATAAAAAAAAAAGAGAAAAAAAAAGAAATAAAAAAGAAGATTATAAGATGAAGACTAAGAAGTAGGAGAAGAAGAAGATTATAAGAATATGAAGAAGAAGAAGGAGAAGAAGAAGAAGAAGTAGGAGGAGTAGGAGTAGGAATAGGGGGCAGGGGAGAGGGGGAAAGAATAAAGTGAAGCAACGATATGTACAATACAATAGTTTGAAGAAACGAGAGGTCAGAAAAGAAGAGCGAGGAATGAAAACCTTTGCCCCCTGCCGCCACCACCCCCCTACGCCTCCCCTCTTCGACCCCTTGCCCAACTGGTTAAACTCTAATTGATTTTTATCTCTAGCTTAGGTAATTATTAAGAGTACTTAATTCGCGCTTAAGGCCACGTAAGTGGGGCCCCTTAGAGAACGATCGCCGGGTTAATACGCTAATGACACCACCACCCCCCCGCCAACGTCATCTTCGTCTTCGTCTTCGTCTTCATCGTCGTCAACGTATTTTCTTTTTACCGATGCCGCCCATCATTTCGATATAATTCAACCTGTATCATTATCATCACAAATGGTGGTATTATTATTTAGTACAGAACTGTTTTATTTTTTTTATTTTTGTAGAGTCACCAACAAAAATTTCTTCTCGTCGTCATCGTCGTCGGGTTCGCACGGGGTTTTTTTTTGGTTTTTTTAAATGAATATTTTCAAAATAAAATGAACAAGGATAGGATTCATTATGCGATTTCAAAGTGAAGTTTCAACGCGATAAATACAGACGAATTTTATTTTTCTTTAATATCTTGTGGTGTTCCTTGGTTTCTTTTTTTTTTTCACGGCCACGATACAACGAAATGGAGGAACACGAGTTTTTATAACTCGTTAATCTTCACTTCTAGAAAAGTGTCTATTACGTTTATATGTTTTTTATATATCGTAAAAGTGAGAGAACTCTCTTTAAAATTTGACGATCGATACGTAAAAATATCGCGTGTAAAACGTATAGCGATCATGGGGTAGTTCGTAAAGAAAAGAAAAAAAAAGGAAAGAAAAAAATCACAGAAAAAAAAGATAAAACCCTAGAGATGCGGTAAATCTGATATACTTAAACCCTCGTTAAGTTATACCACCGAGAAATAGATTTGCGTTACGGATTCAAGTTACACTTTTGCGCTTTTCCCGACCAGAAGTATCTCGAGATTCTTGTCTCGTTTATAAAACTTTTCCCCGTTTCTCTATTTCTATCTGTCTTTTTTTATTTATTTCTCTCTCTACTTTCTCTGTCTGTTTAATGTTATAATATATAAGCGTTAGAAGAGAAAAGTTTTTCTTTTTTTTCAAATTGTAATGATAAATAAATTAGATATCGATAGAGTGATATTTGATAAAAATAGGTTGGATTCTATTCTATTCTCGATAAAATTGATTTTAGTTGAAGATAAAAAAGATTTAATAGATAGATAGAGTACGTGTAGTTCGATAAAAAAAAAAAAAAAAAAAAAAAAGTCTCTTCCTCAAAGGAAACAATATTTCTCTTTGATCCGTGTTTGATCATTTTACGTTTGCCGGAGAAAACATCGCTTGAAATCTTTTTTTCCCGAAGAATATCGATTTATCTCTTTCCATTGTCGTCGTCAACTTTGTGATTCCTCAATCTCACGAAGGATAAATTTCATTTTTCAAACAAAGGAACCGTCTCAGGCGAAGAAGAACTACTCCCCCTTCCCAAACCACCCACCCACCCCATATTCCACCAAGTAAATAGAGGAACCCACTAGAAGTATACTTAAAATTGAGAAATTGAAGTACGGATCGAGATAAGTTTGATGAAAATTAGAACGAACGATTCCGAGTGTAAATCTTTCAAAGTTCATCTTTCTTTTGCATTCGAATCGTAGTAATTGAGAGATTAAAAGGTTGTATGAAAATGGAACATTTCAAAAGATCCTGATAACTCTCTCTCTCTCTCTCTTTCCCTTTAATTTTTCTCTCTTTTCAATGAAAATAAAAAACAAAAAAAATCATTAATATAAAAGTGAATAGCAAGGAAAGTTTATAAATCGAAATAATTTGATTTGTACACGTGTATGTTAATAAGAAAAAATAAATTATAATAAAACGTATCGCGTGCTCGAAACGTTCGAATTTTGGAGACGATAAAAAAATAATACAAATCTAAAACAGATGTAAGAAAAAAGAAAATAGAGAAAAAGATAGATCGATGAGAGTAAGTGAGAGAGAGAGAGAAGAAGAAGGGTGAATAATCGATCTTACCGTTAGACCAGGAATGAGTTATCCTCGTAAAATTCGACATGATTTCCAGCAAAGCATATTCTTCCTATCGGTTAGACAATCTCATACGAATAGAAAATCTCTAACAATAATAAATTATTCAAATATATATAAATCACCGAATTATAAATTATATATTATTATTATTATTATAATAATACTATTAACAAAAAGACGAGAGATGATGCTATATATATATAATAATAATAATAATTCTCTATATATTAATATCGTCAGATACTTTTTCTTCTCACTAACAAGAAGGATCCTCTCGTGATCGCGTTAGCGACATTTTTCGATCGTTTTTCAATTAACCGATCGATTCTCATACCGCGTAATTAATCTCTCGCGTGCGAGAAAAAAAAATAATAAAACAAAGACGACAACAACAACAACAACAACAACAACAACAACAAAGTAAAATCTTCTTTTTGATTAACAGATGTTGCGCACACTATCGAACTCTTAAACCCCGTTGTATATGAACGCACGAACGATTTAACGACATTAAATATCGCGATTTCTGGCGTTGATGTCGTCGTCGTCGTCGTCGTTGTTGCAACTATCCGTTCTCTTTCTATAATATCTCTTTTCGAGTACTATACTATCTATCTCGTCCACATCTCTGGACCGAACCGAGAAACGTCACAAACGGAAATGTCTGGATTACAACGCGCTATCGTATTAAATGATGTTTTGCATTAGCTTTGCCGTGATTCGAACGTCGACTTCTCTTTCTCTCTCTCTCTCTCTCTTTCTCTTCTATGTCCTCTCATTTCATTTGCACGTTTTATTTCATCCCCCTCTCTTTATCTATCTATCTCTCTCTCTCTTTACCCCTTTCACTTCCTCTCACTCTAACCATTATCTCTACCACTCCCCCCCTACCCCCTTTCTCTCTCTCTCTCTCTGATTCTCTCATTCAATTAAAGAAGAAGAAGAAGAAGAAGAAGATGGAAATGAAGAGGATATAGTTTTCGTTCACCAGTTCTTCAACAGTTCCCCCCTTTTTTTTTTATTAATTTGTTCTTCCTATTTTGTTGTTGATGTTGTTGTTGTTGTTATTATTGTTATTGTTGTTGTTGTTGAAATTGCTTATATAAATCCCGAATTGGTCATTCAATTGGAGAACTATTTATTCGTGAGAATTACTACCACCACCACCACCACCACCACCATCCCTACCCCAATATGGTTGCCGAATTTTGGAAAAGTAATATTTCGCACCAACCTCCTCCTAGGTCAGACGTATCCATGTTGTCAATCCCGTTGTCACACACATACTACATTAACAACTACTCCGAAGTCCGACATCGTTTGTTGGAATCGCCCCTCCCTCTACTCTTCTCTCTCTCTCCTCTCTCTCTCTCTGTCTCTCTTTTTCATCTCTCTCTCTGGATTTTTCTGTCTCTCTTTGCTTCTGGCTCAGCTCTTCGTCCGCGTCCGCTGAAAATCGTGGCTTTAGATGGGTTGGTTTATATATATGTATGTGTGTGTGTGTGTGTGTGTACATTTCGAAACATTTTTTTTCCGCATGAAAAAGCATCGCCCCGTCGAGTTCGCGAACCTTGCGAGGTGTAGGTGTGCCAGGTACACTTAATATATATTTATATCGATAACGGATTATCGGTGTTTCTTTTTTTTTTATTATTATTATTATTGCTTCATTTATATTACTGCATTTTATTCAATTTTATTCTTTTCTTGTTCTCTTTTTTTCTTTTTTACGTTTGGAGGAAACGTTTAAACGTTCAATTATTTATGAATTATTTTAGAATTATTTTATTATCAGTCTCCTTCCTACTCTCGATTGTGTTTGTGTGTGTGTGTGTGTGTGTATTCGAATATTTTAAATTTATTTATCTAGATTTTAATTATTCGATAAAAGATTTTATTCGATAAAATTGTTTCATTGTCATTAATAATGTTTTTCTCATGGAATTGTGTTACTTTTATAATTAACTTTTATCGAATAAATCTCATGTATTTGTAAGTTTTAAATGAAAATTATTTATATCTTTTCGTTTTAATTTGTTTCATATTAATATTTAAATAATCTCTCCGGTGTGGATTATTATTATTATTATTATGTATTATAATTTTAAATTATTCATCACTGTTCAGGTTCATCGTTTGATCTTTAACATTGTTAGTAAATTTGTAAATGTATTAATTGAAAAGAATTAGAAAAAAAATGTAACGTGTTTGTGATCGTAAAAAAATATGGTTCTTCCATTTCTATCCTGATTGATCTTATTTTTAGTCAACTCATTTTCTCGCCATTAGCCGATATTTTTCCATTAACAATAACCAAGTAATTTGAGTGCTTTCTGCGGTATAACGATAAGTCTAAAATGGTGTAATGGTTGGGTAATTTTAATAATTGTATAATGTACACATTATTTTATGAGTTGACAGTCCTTTTTGCAAACTAAAGATAACAAAAAGTATAAGATGTGTATTATGTTAGACTTTTTAATCATTTTCAAAATTTATAGATTTCCATATAACTCGATTCGTTATTTTTTAAAATTTCTGTCTTTTCATGTCAATGAAACAAATATATTGTAATTATTACTCGTACGAATAAAATTATATCTTAATTGGTTTAATTTATGTCTAAAACAAAAACTATATATATACAAGATATATTTTATGATAAAATACAATAAAATAAAAGATATAAAACTAAACGTTTGTGATTCCTCTAATAAATTACATCAAGTTTTTGTATTTAATTACGAATTCAAACTAGTTTTGTTAGTCTAATATTAATGTTGTTATTGTCTTAATATTTTGAATGACTTAACAATCGATTCGTAGAACAGATCGAGGCAAATTTCTCGTATTCGCCAATCGATAGCACGCTGCTTCTCGAGTACCTCGAAGATTCGATATAAATGAGTCACGTGTGTAGTTTTATCGACGATAATTAATCGTCCCTAATCACAACTCGTCAAACGAACAACGAAAATTGCCGTCGACGTTTATTACGTTCGAAAAAGATCGTTAGGCGAAATTCACGTGCGAGAAACGAGCTAATCGATAAACTCGAAACTCGAACACATTTGGATTACGATCATTTGTTATATTCTTACATAATATTTGTTACGTATGTTAATTCATTATTAATCATATGTAATTCATATTATCATAATTATATATATAAGTTAAAAATATATTTAATTCACTTAGAAAACCGAAAAAAAAATGAAATTATAAATTTCAACAAAAAAGCAAAATTCAATTTAATTCGTTCTCGTATTACGTATTGTACTTTGAAACAATCAACTTTTGTTTTTTTATTTTCGATCGATTCAAAATCAAAACACTCATTGGAAATCACGTTCTTTATCATACTTTAAGGCGCTGTTGCCAACACTATAAATATCTATCATAGTCGAGTATAATATTTATCATTAACGTGAATATAAAATAACGTTGTAAACCTTTGGAATAATACAGGATTAATGAAACGACAGGTTTATTCAGTTATATAGGTAAATATGTTACTCGTATGACGATTTCTAGGGCTAGAGAAAATTTTCCTTCGATGATCGAAGGGAAGATTGTTTTCTTTGGTATCTTATCTCGAATACGAACACGTAAGAACAACACGGCCATAGTTCGATATCGATATTGATACTGATATCAGTATTGATTTGAACGTCTTCTGAGATTGATCGAATCGAAAAAATCATTTTCTTAACTTGCTTTACTTATTATAGTGATTAAAAAAAAATAAGAGAAAGAAAAAAAAAAAAGAAAAAGTATTTCATTTTGTTTTTTATTCTTTTTGTTGTTGTTGTTTTCAATTACAAACAAATCTAAATTTTCCTCTCTTCGTTAGACTTCTCGTCCAAGTTTTCTCTCTCTCTTACGAAAAGGAAATAATATTTTTATTTTATTTGATTTTTTTTTTATATTTGTTTTTAACTTTTCTACAATCGTTATGGCGCGACGACACAGACATATGATAGCATATAGAATATTATTCGTTATAGCCATACCAGCTATGTATTTTCTTTGCGTAAGTATCGGTGGATATAATTCGAAGGATCCAACATCGTTGACCGGTTATAAAAAAACACGTAAGTATGACATAACAAAGAGAAAAAATAATATAAAATGTTCATTTTCAATCGTAGCTCTCTCTCTTTCTCTCTCTCATTATGTAATACATTTAATATGAATTTATATAACGCTTTGTGTGACGAGTCTCGAATTTGATTCTAATTTGAAACAATTTAGATTACTAATGAGAATTACGAGAGTATGCGTTTACAATTAATATTCATTCGTTAATAAGATTCGTAGAAGATACCCTCTTTATTCGGTCTACTAAAAGATTTTTACTAATCTGAGTCATGTATAATATCATACGTCAAACGAATTTTTAATGAGAAAAAATCAGCTTTGGATAAAGTACACATTTTATGTGAAGTAACAGTGGTAGTGATTAATTAACAAAAAAAAAGAAAAGGTGAAAATATTAATTGATCGAACACGGACGAATTATATGATATAAAATATTAATCATCGACGATATTGTTGTTGAATTTGTTTATTGTTTTGTAATGTTTTGTTCTTATCGAATTTAAATATAAAAAAAAAAAAAGAAAAAATACGTCGTACGTAGAAAGTCGTTCGAAATTCCAAGCATTATCGAATAAAAAGATCTCTCGAGAGTTCTCGTCGCGTGAGAGGACGACGTTACGTTACGACGATTATTTTGTCTTATAATCTGCCAACTCGACGAGGAATTACCCGGTACGGTTTAATTCGATCGAATTAGAGACAACCTCCTCTTGCTCTTCTCAAGATTCTATTACCTCGCGTACAACTTCCTCTATCTCTCTCTTTCTTTTTCTTCTGAGAAGAAACGAGATTAAAAAAACAAAAAAATAGAAGCAATAAAAGGAAACACAATTTTCTAAAGCGAATGAAATTATCGTTAAAAAGGACACCCGTTAGATTCGTAGAAATTGTTTTTAGATTTTTACCGAATATAATATTATATTATATATATCGAGAGAGAACCGAATAAAAAAAAAACCCCGAATCGATATTCGATTCTACTGGTGGTTCTTTTTTTTAATTTTGTTCCAATCTCATCTCTCTCTCTCTTTTTCTTTTTTTTTTTTTTAATTTATTTTATTTTATGTTTTTTTTTTATTCACGCAAAAAGATCTACGAAGACTCTTGCAAACGGTTGAGGACGTTCAACAGGAAATAATAGAAGAGAATTGTACAGCACCGGCCATTGACGAATTCCCATCGGATGGATTTACCCGAGTACAACGACAATCGGGTTTCATAGCAATTCATTTCGCCATAGCTATTTATCTCTTTTTACTTCTTGCTATCGTATGCGACGATTTCTTCGTACCATCGATAAAGAAAATATGCGAAAGTAAGTAAAGCTTATCGAATATTTAGATCTTTGTAATCATAAAGGATAACAAGAATGATTGTTGAATCGATTGAAATTAATTTTATTTAGAGATGAAATTGAGCGAGGACGTAGCAGGTGCAACTATTATGGCAGCGGCTAGCTCAAGTCCAGAATTATTCATCAATGTCGTTGGAACTTTCATAACGGAAGGTGATTTAGGTGTAGGCACGATTGTTGGTTCCGCTGTGTTCAACATACTTGCTGTACCAGCTTGTTGTGGATTATTTGCTAAACAGGTTTACCATTTTATTATTTAGAAAATTTATTTTCTCTCTCTCGAACTTTATTATAATCTAATCTCGATGAAAGATTATTATTTAAAACAAAAAAAAAAACATGAAAAAAAACATTCTTAACGTTGTTTTATTTTTAGGCATTACAACTGGAATGGTGGCCCATAACACGCGACACATTGGCGTATGCTTTCACTGTACTTTTATTGATCATAACACTTCGAAATGGTCGTATCGAGTGGTACGAAGGCTTGATTCTCATTTCATTTTATATCCTTTACATTTCGGGTAAGTCGAAAAACGTGATAGGAAACACGTGAGCCCCAGCCCTTCTGAAACAATTTATTCCCCTTCCTCCTCCGCCCCCAATTCCCTTAGTCAGAATTCAGTTGAAATTCTATGTTTCCTTTCAGCAATGTGTTTCGACGGAAGGATCGGTGGATTTCTCAAACGTGTCACGTCGAAGAGGAAACCATACAAAAATATTTCTGAAAATAGTCCTCTTCTTACTAACAGTACGATTACAAATAATTTATTAAGATTTTAAAAACAAATATATCCAATTTTAATGTGTCCCATCTTTTGCATTCGTTTTTACAGTGCATGCGAAAAGCGTCGACATCGAAAGTTTCGGCACGAGCGAAGAGGAAGAAGCACGTAAGTGTTTGTATTTAAAAAAAAAAAATAGAAACAAATTTCCTAACTCCATCCTACCACGAGAACAAGACAATTTATTTGATATTATATTTACAGTTGAAATCGTAAGTATGACAAGTTGGCCGAGCTCGAATGGTGAAAAAATATGGTGGCTATTAACGTGGCCCATCAATCTGGCACTGCTCGTTACGATTCCAGATTGCAGGAGACCCAAATTAAAATCATGGTATCCTCTTACATTCATAATGTGCATTATATGGATCGCTAGTACATCTTACGTAGTAGGATGGGTGATTACGATTATTGGTAGGTATTATTATTTCATTATTTTCTTTTCAATAACATCTCTATCATTGATATGATTAAGATCAATAAGGTTTATTAATTAAAATCCATACATATAACCCATAGGTGATACATTCAACATTCCTGACTCGATAATGGGATTGACTTTCCTCGCTGCTGGAATGAGCGTGCCCGAAGCTGTGTCTAGCGTTATAGTAACAAATCAAGGTAATTAACTAACGTTTCAAGATAATTCAAATTTTATATTGATATATTATTAACGATACGAATATAATCCAATAATAATATGTTTATTATTTCGTTTGTTATTATTTAAGGTCTCGGATCCATGGGAATAAGTAATTCGATAGGTTCGAACGTATTCGACGTCTTACTTTGCTTAGGATTACCATGGTTCGTGAAGAGTGCCATAATGCCAACTATACCCGGAGAACATAGCGTTAAAATTAATTCACAAGGTCTCGTTTATAGTTCTGTATCATTGTTCTCAACTTTATTCGTCTTATACGTCTCACTCGCGTGTAACAAATTTAAATTAAATCGTGGTATAGGTATAACATGTCTTATAACATACGCCATATTTTTAGTATTCGCATCGGTAATAGAACTTAATATCTTTTTCGTCGTCAATTTACCCATATGCAAACACTGACGATAACTATCGTGTGCGCGCGCGATTATTTCTTTCTTTCTTTCTTTCTTTCTGTCTCCCTTTCCGCGTGCACGCTTCTTATGCAAAGGCAACGTAATTTAATGTACATATGTATGTATTAAATACAAACGATTCGATGGTGCTAGTCAATTATTTGTAACATGTCCATTTAGTACATTACGATTCGTTATTTTTGGATTAACATGAATCTGCATGTATTTTTTATTAAGTAATTCCTTTTCTATTTTATTCAAACGTATACTTGTTAGTAATGTTTCGCTAACAATAAGTACACAAAAAGATGTGTATATATATATACATATATACACACACACACATGGAAGTGTAAATATATAATATATATATATATATGGTATAATATTTATCTTTTACATAATAAAGAGAACATTAAAGAAAGATATTATTAGATATTAAAAGGAGAGAAGTGCTCATTTATCACGCATAGTTTGGTGTTAATATTCTTATTAGAATGTCAAACGGTGACAATGATTCTCAAAAGAGAATATGATTAAATGTAGATCTGGTATAAATGATGGTCAAACAGTAAAGTGAAAAGTATTATTTAATATTTATTGGAACGTAAGTAAAAGGAAGTCATTTAAAGTTGACCGCAATCAGCAATTATTATTTTCTGACGAGTCTTGCCGGTTTGGCTACCAAAACTTTCGACTCTCTTGATTACATCCATACCTTCGATAACAGATCCAAAGACTACGTGCTTATCGTCTAACCAAGTAGTTCTAGCAGTCGTTATGAAGAATTGTGATCCATTGGTATTCGGTCCAGAATTAGCCATGGAAAGTAATCCGGAATCGAGGTGCTTAAGTTCAAAATTTTCATCCTCGAATTTTTCACCATAAATTGATTTACCACCGGTGCCATCGTGGTTTGTAAAATCTCCTCCTTGGCACATGAAGTTAGGTATTACACGATGAAAGGTACTACCTTTATATCCAAAGCCTCTCTCTCCAGTACAAAGAGCACGGAAATTCTCAGCTGTTTTTGGTACAATATCTGCTCGTAATTCCATAACTACACGACCAACAGGCTTTTTGTCTGCGGTTATGTCGAAATATACTTTCGGCAAACCCATTTTCTTAGTTTATATTAGAAAAACTATTAAGAGAGTACCTAAGGTAGACAAAATTGGTTAAAATATTAGTGTGATGATATAATATTTAAGTTCTTAATAATAATTCAATTATATAACGTGTAATATTTTCATCGAATTTGATTAATTTATCGAGAATCATCGATAGAAATGGATTTTATTTTATTAATAGAATATATAACGATAATAATAATTAACAAATTTCTAGAACTCACCTCTTCGTCTAGTGTAGCAACGGATATGTAACGGTCGTTCTTCTCTTATGGCACAGTTTTTTTATTGATTTAAGAGGGCGCTTCCGTACACGGTGTCCGGTGTGAAGTTGACGTCGAAAACTCTTGTCTAAATATTCCAAGGTTGGCAGCATGGAAAAACTAAAAATACTGACAAGTGATTTTGTAATTTATCCACTGTTATTCCACCAGTTCATCACGCGCACACGCATACTTATAAATAAGTGTATATGACAGCTTGTTAAAAAACAAAAAAGAAAAAACTATATTGTGAACATATTCCTCTACCACATAGAAAGCTGTTTTGACGTTTCCATTTCATTTTATGTATGTTGGATATAAATCGATAATAAATAATTAATTGTTTTGTGTATTCTTTTAACGACGCCAGGTCATGAGAAGTATATAGTTACGATTGTTAATGATAACAAAATAAAGCAAAGTGCATAATCATTTAACATATAAGGGCGTATTAGTTTAATACACATCAAGGTAATATTTTATATTTACTCTTATTTCTTTTATCCACGTTTAATAATTTATGACAAATTATGAAATTTTTCGTTTCACCTTTAATTTGTATCTTAAATGCACAATAATAATTATAAGATTTTTATTAGTTAGGAAGATGTTAGAATGCAAATTTTTATCTACAATATAATCAGTTCAATTATCTCTTTGTTTACGACGCGATGATTCAATCCCATGAATCATCTTAATAATTTGAAAAGTATTTTATCATTTGTTATAATAAAATAAACGATGAAGATTCATAGTTTGTCTTGTATTGCAAGCGAAATGTTAAGATTGAAAATAAATTAATTATGGATTTGTTATTTTGTTTTCCAGATAATAAAAATGCCTATTTTATATAGCGTTGTGTCTCGAGGAATCACCGTATTCGCCTATCATGCAACTTGTGCCGGTAATTTTGAAGAAGTTACGGAGAAAATATTGGCACAGATACCACCTAGAAATAATAAGATGACTTATTCCCAAGGACCTTATCTTTTTCATTATATTTGCGAGGACTCTCTTATTTACATGTGTATAACTGACGATGTACGTACAAAGTAATTCACTTGAATGATACATTTGTTTTTTTAATAAAAAAAATAGCTTATAAGATCACTTTCTTTTTCGTTTATTTTTCAGGATTTTCAAAGATCCAGAGCATTCCTGTTTCTTAACGAGATAAAACGCAGATTTTTAACTGTTTATGGAGAGGGAGCTCAAACTGCCATGGCTTATGCCATGAATACAGAATTTAGTAGAGTTTTAGCTAACGAAATGGTAAAATTTATACATTTTTCTAATTTAAGCACATTTAATTTAAACACAATGATGTATTTGATTTTGTAGAAACACTATAGCGAATCCAGGGACATTGATACTATATCCAAAGTTCACGGGGAACTTGACGAATTGAAAGATATTATGGTTAAGAATATAGACAATTTAGCAATGCGTGGAGAAAGATTAGAACTTTTAATTAACAAGACTGAAAATTTAACTGCGAGTGTAAGTTACGTTTCAATGATATTATTTAATCGAATTAACTTGTATATTAATGAAAGAATATTTTCAGTCTGTTACGTTCAGAAAGACGAGTAGAAACTTGGCACGCTCATTGTTTTGGAAAAATGTTAAGATTTATGTCATTATAGGAGTGGTTTTAATAGTAAGTTAAAACATATATTCCTTTCTTTTTTATCAGGTGGCAAAGAAACAAATCATAAAATATTTTTTAAATATTCTACGTTACAGGTAGTGGTTTATGTCGTGGTGTCAATAGCATGTGGCGGATTGGGTTGGCAAAAGTGTGTTGGAAATTAAACATCTGAAAAAAGATCTGAAAAAGCTGTGCCTAGAATACGTTACGTCATATAAAATAAAGAAACTTTGAGATAATTAAGAACGATGTCAAATATGGAAGGCCTTTGTTAGGACAAAAGTGAACTGCATCGTCTTTAAATCATACTAAATATTATATATAGATACACATATACATATATTCTATATTTATTTGTTATATTTTAAGGACATACACGTTTCTTACTATAAATACTTAGAAATAATGAAATGCTCGCATAATTTACATATAACTTTAGCATAGTTAATTGATTAATTAATATATTATATCGATTATTTGTATCGTCAATCAGGGATATTATATTCTTAAATCTTAAAGATACGAAAATGGAAACGAAATATTAATCTTATTTTTACTTGCACCTTTTATCATATTAATTATTATTATCACCGAATTGTATTAGAGTAGTAGAGAAGATTGCATTACGAAAATACATCAATAAAATTGTTATAATGATCGTTGAGAGAAAGAAGTTAAGTCGATGAAGACAATCATTCTTTACGAGTAAATTCCTTTAATTAATAATTAAAACAAAATATCTATATTAGATTTCTAATTGTTGTTTGTTTTTAAATGTATATAGAATTTAATTAAACATTCACTTTGTGTACACTACTAGTTATTAAAAGTTACTAGGAAATAAAGTTACAAATATATTGAAATTCTAGTAACATGGCTAAGCCGATATTGGTAATAGTAGTGCTCTATCTTTATCTTACCGACCGAAAAGATCTTATGGTAAGTTGTCTTGTAACAGGTACACAGAAAAGGACTTATTAGATTAAAAAGAAAATCGATATTATATTGGAGCTACAAAGATCGGAGAAAAACGAACAAACAAAAAGTCAGCAATTGATTGGAAACAAAAAACAATAAAAAACTTCATTGCTTTGCTTAGCATTGAGAAAATACGTTTTTGTATTTTCAATTATTAATAACTAATTAAATAATTAATTGATAAAGTGTGCAATTATAGATTTTAAATGTGCAATTAGGAGCACTTATTCATTTTTTTCTACTGTTAAGGTTCCTTGCCAACGTTCCTACGGTGGAAGACTGCTAGTCGTCTCATAGATTTTTATTTGGCTCGATTTTCTATAGAATTACGATGGTAATTTATCGGTCGGTCGTTCGTTCGGCTTTTTTCCACACCATTAGTGGCATTAAGTTTCCGCGCGAAGAGCTACGATATGCATTTCGTGGGCACTCCCTTGTGTTTCCTAAAAATTACTTATCTGCGCATGCTCTCTCGTTTGTTCATTTCTTTTCACATAATATTCATCCATCCCCATGCATATTCATACACACATATATATATATACATATAAATATGCAAATATAAAATAAAAAATATTAGGATGAATCAAAAGTGTCTTGTTATAAATTGCATAATCTATTATTTTTGTACAATTTACTATAGAAATATTAATAAAAAAAAAAAAAAAAACAAAAAAGCGCACGAACTTTCGACTCATCCCCTAATATGCATTATTAATCATAAAAAAAAAGATAATAAGCAAGTGAAATTACAAATAAAAAAGAAAGAAAGTAAGGAAAAGTGGGTACGGTCCTGCAATAGGGTAACGAGAGGGAGCGGGAAAGATAGATAGATGAATGAGGGGGAAGTAAGAGATGGGTGTAGTAGTAGAGGGTAGTGGTGGGGATTGTAAGCGTCGAATCAGCGAGTGCCGGCGTGTATGTCGGCGTGTATGTCGGGTTGCGGCGTGCCGGGCGCTGTCGTCGGCAACGGACGCCCGGGCCATCGGCGGCAGGAGCTCGCTCGTCGTCGGCTTTCGGTCGGCTTTCGGTCGGCTTTCGCGGAGGATGTCGATGGGTCGCGTGGCGCGCCCTTCGGGGGGTTGCTGCCTGCCAAATAAGTGTCGTCGTCTCCCGCGATACGACTTTACGCGTCTAACGATTACGCCGATTTTATTTTAATAGTCACATCTCGTCGATTAGTTTTACTTTTCTTTTCTTTTTTTTTTTTCAAACAATCGTATACGAGAACAGTTACTTGTTTTACGAGTCCTTTTTATTTCTTATAAGATAAGGGCTCGGTGAATGCGGAAATACAAAACAGAGAGAAAGAAGAGGGTGATAAAAGGGAAAGTGAGAGGTAGAAGCATGTATTGAGATTAAATAAAAAATAACATAATATATAAGTAGAGAGGGAGAGGGATAAAAAATAAATAAAGAATAGTAGATACATATAATTACGTAAATAATTGTAAACAAAAATATTGAGATTCCGAGAAAAGTACGCGTGCGTGTACCTAACTATATATATAATAGTATAATATCGTAGTAGTAGTAGTAGTAGTAGTAGTAGTAGTAGTATAATAAGGGTAGTAGTAATAGTAGTAGGAACTTCTTCCCTCGGATTGTTTTCTTTTATTTATTTTTTTTCTTTTTTTTTTTCATCCACCGAGTAGTTCTCTCTCCCTTTCATTTATTTCATCTGACAAGAGAGATAGAGAGAGAGAGAGTATAATATGGAGCAACGGCGAATCGGAAAAGTGGAGGGAAGCTGACGGATCCTCGTACGCCGCGCTCGTCCTTGAACGGCTTGAATGGACACACACGGTAGTGGATGAAAGTGAAAACGAAACTGACCGTAGACCGGGGGCGACGTGGGGGAGGAGAGGTGTACTCTCTGTGATATGGAAAACGTCGGCAGGACGAGGACGAATCCTTCAACGACTTCCTCGTAAGTTTTTCATCCCCTCCACCCTGCCGTTTCTTTTTTTTTTTTAACTTATCATCCTATATTTCGATTTTTTCAAAATTCGTTCGCCAATTATTATAGAGAGAGAGAGATATTTCTATGTCGTGTAAAATCGAATCTGATACTACCCCACCTATCATCGAATTATATTTTCTTATATTTATTTGTTGTTGTTTTTTTTTTCATGAATATATTTAGGAATTAAAATAAATTGTTTTTTGCACTGGCACGGCCGATCGGACAAGTGTCCCTCTGCTGTAGATGAAAGAATGAAAAAGAAGATAAAAAAAAAGATAAAAAGGGGTAAAAGTATATTATTGAAATAAAAACTTTTGGATCTCGAATATGAAATTCTTTCGAATCGGTTGGCGGCGAATCTCGCAATTCGATTTATCGTGAGGAAAATTTGTATTTAACAAGTGTCAATAATTTTTACAACCACGCCTCTATCGGGATATACATATATATATACACCTA